TGTGCCACTTACTTTGTTGAAAGTAAGAAAGAATGATGTTCCTTACGACCCTCTTCTTACTCATGATCGACCTTCTTGTGAATGGCGGAAAGAAATTTGGTTTAAAGTTAAAATCTGCACTTATAAATAATTTGCAAGAGGGAGGGATGCTTTCCTGCAAAATGGGTTGTTAAATTTGTCTTAGACAGCTCCAAAGACTTAAGCACTACTGTGAATCAAAGTTAACATATCTTAATTAAATTAAATAGCATGTAATTTAAAGTAAATTTGTGAGAACAATCTTTTTACTCAAATTAAATTAAATATGTTCATTGTTAAATTAAAATGCTATCAATTGATAAATTTAAAAATTTAGCTACTGTAGAATTAGAGATTTAACCCTAATTAACACTAAAACAAACATTAACAAGAATTAAACTAACATGTTCAAAATTGAAAAAAAGCATGAATAACATATAAGTAATCATTTGAAAAAATGCTACTTATTATAAACATTAAACTAATTATAGTTAGAAAATGAATAATACCTTGAAGAAATTCAAGAGCTTGAAGTTCATTACATGAAATGAAATTGTTGAAGCAAATATATGAACTAATTTGACTACTAGAATGATGATAAATAATTTAGATCTACTGGAAATTATGTTGAAATTCGAAATCTATAAACAATTGCAAAGAAAATGAAAGTTTGAAAATTTGTAGGTTTTGAGTATGGCTAGTCATGTCTTCTATCTTCCAAAATTTCCCTTTTTGTTCTCCTTTTTTCGATTGTAACTTACTTTCTGTGGTTTCAAAAATCATGGGTAATTTCTTAATGTAGTGGGACACCTCAACGGTTGATAGAGTCAGATTACCTTCTAGATTTCGCCACCTATCCTCTTTGTTTAATAACCTATACCCATAACTGACACCTCCTTCTAAATTTCAATTAAAACAGATCTAATTTAACTTTAAAAAGTAATTAAAAGATAAAATCTTATCTTTTACCTCTTTCTTTCTAAAGTGGTAGTTGATCTGTCATGGGTTTAGAATTACATATCTGAAATGGCAAAATCTCCTCCATCTATTTAAAAATTTTTACATGTGGCATGATTTTTAATTATTGCAATTTAGGGTGTAAACAATATTATACATATATGTATATATATAAATTTATACAATACATTTTGTTGGCTACACTTTTTTTCAAGAACACTCGGAACCCTTTTTTTCTTTTTCTTTTTTTTCTTTCTTTGGCCATTTCTTGCAATGCTTCCATTTCTATTTTTTAAGTAATTAATAATTAATAATAATTAATACAATAATATTTAAATTTAAATAATGATTATATGATATTTGTAAAATTAAAAAAAGTGTGAAGCTTTATTTATTTTTTAACAATATTAAAACTACTCATGTGGAGAGAATTAGATAAGAAAAAACAATAATATCAGTAGAAAAGTCTTATATTTCGATATATACAAAACTGATATTCAAAAGTCCTTTTTTCTTCTCTTATGAGGTAATGTTATTGCCACATTCTTAATTACTAATATCACACTGTTTCCTCAAAAATCCTCTAGTGGCCTCGCACGTGTGAAATCTGGATGCGGGCGTGCCACTTACTTTGCTAAAAGTAAGAAAGGAGGACTTTCCCAACGACCCTCTCCTTCCTCACGGTCAACCTCTTCGCAGATGGTGGGAAAAACGTTGGATTAAAATTGAAATTGTGCCTTCAGACGATTTGCAAGAGGGAGGGATGCCTTCCTGCAGATTGGGTTACGAAATCTGCCTTGGACAACTCCAAGGACTTAAACACTACCGTAACTTAAAATTATCAAATCCTAATTATTTTAAATTACCTGCAATTTAAAATAAACTTATGAGAAAGAAATGTACTTAAACTAAATTAAGCATGCTTATGGTAAAATTAGAATGCAATCTATTGATAGATTCGGAAATTAAATTGCTGCAGAACTGAAAATTTACTCCTAAATTAGCACTAAAATTAAACGTGAACAGTGGAGAAATTGAAGAACTTGAAATTGGAAAGAAGCATGAAAGCCACATAAGTAATCATTGAAGCAATGCTACTTAACATAAACATTAAATTAATTACAAATGAAAAGAAAACAATACCTTGCATAAACTTGAAGGATTGAAGTTCATTGCATGAAAGAAAATTGTTTAACTGAATATAGGAATTAATTTGTCTACTGGAATGATGAAAAACAACCTAATTCTAATGAAAACTGTGCTGAAATCCGAAATCTGTGCTAAAATCCAAAATCTGGAAGCATGTGCAGAGAAAATCAAAGTATGAAAATTTGCAGATGTTTGAGTAGGGCTGGCCGTGTGTTCTTCCTTCCAAAATTTCCTTTTTGTTCTCCATGTGCTGACAGTTACTTCCACCTTTTGCAGTTACTCAATCATGGGTGGTTTTTTGAAGTAGTGGAACACCTCACCTTTTGACCTAGTCTAATCCCCTTTCAAATTTCGCCACATGTACTCTTAACAGATAAAACCCCCTTTTAAACTGCAATCTTCTCCTAATTTCCAGCCGCCATTATCCCTTTCTGTATCAAGAAGATAATTACTCCATACAAAATTATCTTTACCTCTCCTATCTTGCCAACACAAGTGCTGATCTGTCATAGGGCCCAGAATTCGAATCTGACATGACTCAAACTCCTCCAACCAATAAAAAATATCTTACACGTGGCATTAATTTAAAATTTTGCAATTTATGGTGTAAACACACACTTTTTTATTTTAATCGATTATTAAATCTTTTAATTTATTAAAAGAAAATTTGAGAAAAAATATAATGTAAGAGTAAAATAGACAATTATATTAAAATGATGTGGTATTAAATATTTATGATGTGATAATAACCCCATCTTTTTTATATAATATCTTTCAAATTTTATTAATATCATTTCATAAAATTGTATTTATTTTCCTTTTAATTCTAAGTTCTATCTAATTAATTGTATTAGATTTAATTAGATTTGATGCTCCTCATCTTTTATTTGGTATTTTTTTGTTTCGACTCAACTATTTAGTCATATTACATTAGAAATATATTATATATCTAGTTATATATTAAAAGAGAAACAAATGAAGAAAAATCATATGACAAACTAAATTTTTATATAATCCTTAGTTTATGGTTCTTTTGACACATGCTGAAACTTTTCTTATTTAAAAACCTTTCTCACAATGTAATATTTTTTATGTTGTTGTTTAATGAGATAAATTCTTGTTAAAGTCCAAAATTATTAAAAAAATAAAATTTAAAAGGTTAATTAATGCCACTTGACTAAAATACCTTTATTACATATTTAATATTATTTTTTGTTAATTTAAATATCTTTTTAAATAAAAAATTAATAAAAGAGATAGATTATTTGTGTAAAATTATATGAGAAAATTATACATTAAAATATTTAATTGACAATAATAAAAGAAAAATTACTGAATTATTTTGTTGTATTACTTTTCAAATTAAGTATTTTTT